AGAAGAAGAAGAAGAAGAAGAAGAAGAAGAAGAAGAAGAAGAAGAAGAAGAAGAAGAAGAAGAAGAAGAAGAAGAAGAAGAAGAAGAAAAGAACCAGGTTTCGAATAGAATCGATCTATTGTTCTGCGGGACCACGAGACCAAGAAGAAGATTGCTTGAACCTGAAGTCCTTCAAGAATTCACCACGAAGACGACGAAGACGACGACGACGATGAGGACGAGGACGACGAAGACGTCGTTCCACGTCGTTTGTGGTTCGCTTACGTATACTCGAACGAAGTGAATTCCACATGACAAAAGGAATCTCGTCTCTCTTTCTCTTTCTCTCTCTCTCTTTTTCTCGGCGAACAATTGCTGTCTCGTCGGCCATTTCCGAGAGAAGAGGTTCCAGATCGACTTTTCGTTCCTCTTCGATGCATTTCAATTCCCACCTGAGAGAACGAACCCTCCTCCTCCTCCTCCTCCTCTTCCTCCTCTTTCCACCTCTTCTCCCGATTCTCTCTCTTTTCTTTTTCTTTTCATCTTTCCGTTTTTCTTTCTTTTTCTTTTCCTCCCTCTCTTAGTCCTCATCTTAGAACCATCTGCTTTTTCTTCTCTCTCTCCTCGCGAGAGAGCCCTTTCTCGAAGGCCTTTTTTTCCCTAACAACAGCCAATGCGGCCCTTTCCTCTCTTTCTCTTTCTCTCTCTTCTCTTTATATTCTCGCACAGGATCTCTCTCCGATCTTCCGTTTCTTATTTCGAGTTCCGAGAACCATGAAGTATATAAAGCAGGGCAGCGCATTAAGCGCGAAAAGGACGCTTCGTCGATGGTTTAAGGGTGGTAAAAATTAGGTTCGAAAACCGAAGTATAGCCAGGACCTCGGCTGATTTCATTTAAATTTTTATCTAATCTCTCTCGGGAACAAGCACTTTTTTATTTTTCAGATAGTTTTTTTATTTCACCCTAACGATGCGTCGATTAAAACATGCTTCGAAAGGAAGTTACCGATGAGAGAGGATTCGTTACTCATTGTCAGTGATCTCCATTGGGATTCGGTG